TAGTTTAGTGAACAAAACGGTAAATGTTCTAGAACAATTTTACCGCGTTAGATTAAAGGAATTGTTTAGCATGCAAAGCCAACATCATGTGTACATTCCATAGGCGAGTTTTCTAGTATAATAACTGAGAGTGCAGCAATTTAAGACCGCTAAGAAGGTCCAAACAGCTCTTCAACCGCCGCCATTTATCATTGACCCTCCATGCCTACCATACTTAGTCCAATACCTTTTCATGATATTGTTTCGCGTTTATTGTAGATTCCGATCTAGTCACGTTTTTAATTTAACTAATACAACAAGTATAAATAATATGAAAACCGACAGCCGTTTTTCCTTATTGAGCGCCCTTTGAGTTGAATCTATTGAGCTCCAGGTCGATACTTTTGGCTGATTATCACATTATATTGGTCATCATTTCAATAATAAATTTATGTACGAAAGATATGATCCAGTAATGACACCTTATTATTTTTTGTGTAATTATTATTAGAATGATCATTTTTCTAGTAATACTTGATCGATAGACAAAAGAATTGCATATTGATTAAAACACCTAAAATAATCTCTGCGTTCCACTTCATTGCAATAAAATACGCTGATTAAATCTTTACTATCTAGCAATAATAAAAACTAATTAATTAAATTTGCTTAATATTTGCATAGATTATATTTCAAAATTTGGTAGTCTCTCTTGTCAAATTTCAAAATAAACAAATCTACTCATTTAAAATTATTCATATTAATAAATATAAAAATAGCACATACAAGTCATACTTGCTTTACATAAATTATTCAAAGTAATTTCTACATGAAATGATGAAAGACCAGCAAATAAATACTAGTATTGATTTGTCAAATTTCTCCCTTCTATTGCTGTTATTTACAAAAAAAAAAATTAAATATTCTATATGGAAAAATGTTGAGCAATTTTATGAAAATTAAAATATTATAATATGGAATTTTTTTAAATATTTATTCAAATTATTTGTAGCATAACCTAAAATATTTTACTTTTTAATAATATTTATATACTGTTTATTTCAATTATTTATGACTGTATAATTATTGAACAGTTGTTAATAATTTCTTAATGTTTTGTAAATGACGAAGAAATATACGATTCTTCATCTGCATAAATGACTACCATAAAATATGTTATTCCCAAGTCTTAATCAGCGTATAGAGTTTACTTAAGAAAAACTTAACTGGGGTGCATTTATGAGGTCAACTATGACAGCTACAGCCCCTCCCTAGAAATTATTGACAAGTATTTTTAAAGTTTGTAAATTCTAAGAGATCAAAATTTCCGTTTTTATAATTATTAGTTTTTTATAGAAAATTTCTTATTTAGCAGAATTCATACTCGTCTAATTATAAATGGAGAGAATTTAATAATATTAGATTATTCATTGTATGAATGATACATAATTTAAACCATCGACTTGAATTACTGTCGTTTAATACTAACGAATAATTCGATTGTCATTATTCAATTTTATCCATCACTAATAGATATATGATTTTATAGACAATATCACATTATTTGTTTAGATTTTTTTTTTTTTTTTGTTATACCAAAAAAGAGAGTTGTAATATTACAATTAAAATTATATACTATATTCTTGGTTATTAATAAGTTCAGCCAAATTTAGAGGGTTAAGTATTAGATATGAATTTTCAAAATAATGGTGAGAGGAGAGTGGAAGTATTCCATTATCCCTATAATCAGTAATTGATAACATTTTCGGGCACTCCAAAAAAATTATAATTATCCCTTTGTAAAGTATATTTTTTTAATATTAATTTAAACTAAATTATATCTTTGCTTTCACCATGAAAATACTGTTTGAATATTTTTTTACTTTTTACGCTCACATTAACACTAATTTTAATGTTTATTAGTCTATTTTAAAAACCAGTCACGACTGGTTTTCGAAAAGTTTGAAATCTTTGTGTGTTTTCACATTAACGCAAACAAGGCATGATTTTAGATTAGCATTGGTAAACTTTTTGTAGTGTAAAATAACATATTACTGCGATTATAGTACGGTAAAAATATTAAAAAAAACTAAGTGCAAATATTTTATCAACTCCATCACTTTACGTATTTGTGGTTAATCGTTCTTTAATTGGTTATGGCTCTCGTAAACTATCCTTATTTAAAATTAGATTCAAAGTGTTACACTGTAGACAATAAACTTTACAAAATACCTAAGTATTTACAAATTAACCGACAGCAAAATGGTTGAATGTTCAAATATTTTCAATAATAATTCATTTGACTATAGTCTATAATTTGCAATACATTTTGCATTTTTTCTATAATAAATTCTATGACTAAAATAACTTTTAGAGTACTATGAAATGAAACTTTCTCTAGCCTAATGTATTAGATTTTCTCTGATGGTAAAATACTGTTGGTGGTGTATGCTATTACAGTATCATCAAATTCACTTATCATTTACACAATAGAACATAAACAACGCTTGAATTATACGATTTATCTGTGCGTTAATTTATAAGAAAATACATAAAAATAAATTACTAGATATTAAAATTGAAAACCAAGTATAAATTATGCCTTCGTTTTGTGACAATCATTAATCATTACATATTTTTCATTTTTGTCACGACACCTGGAAAACAAACTGTTTTGTACTTTCTAACTAATAAACCTACATCCAATGTTTGATTGTAATTTTTTTTTATAGTCATTCCAATACTGTTTCAAAACTTCCCACCTATACTTAATTGATTTTTTTCAACGATCATTAGTTTAATTTATTTATTATAGGAATTTGTATTGTCTACTCAATTACACGAATCAACTATTAAACATATTTTTATCAAGGAAGAATTAGTCTTAGAAATACAAAAAAATATCACAAAAATAGAAATCTACTATGAGTAAAAAGGTTTATTGTTATACTGAAAAATAACTTTTAAATAACAATAAAAGTGTTTAAAAGCTGTGTTTCTCTCATANTCAACGATCATTAGTTTAATTTATTTATTATAGGAACTTGTATTGTCTACTCAATTACACGAATCAACTATTAAACATATTTTTATCAAGGAAGAATTAGTCTTAGAAATACAAAAAAATATCACAAAAATAGAAATCTACTATGAGTAAAAAGGTTTATTGTTATACTGAAAAATAACTTTTAAATAACAATAAAAGTGTTTAAAAGCTGTGTTTCTCTCATAAATGATAAGGTCTAATTTGCCAAGGTCGTATCTTCATTATTTTTAAATTTTGAATTATTTGTTTATAAAATAGAAAAAATTCAGCGATCTTTGATACAATCAAATTTTTGATTTCATAATTTTATTCTCCATAAAATTTAAGAAAACTTTATCAAGTTCTATTTCACTATTATGAATTTAATAATGTTTTTTTTCTCTACTGAAAAAATTACCATTTGGAATTAACCTGGTGGTCATACTTCTGTATCTACTCATTATAATGAATCAATAATTATTTTTGACTCATATGTTATTGACCGTGATAACAACTCTAGTTTTTTATTTTGTAACATCCGTCAGCATATTTCATGAAATCATCAATACGCCATCCTAAGTAATCTCTATAAACTAAGTGATGGTCACTTTTTAATTGAAATATCTATTGTTTTAATAAATCTCAAAATCAGTTAGTGAACATTTTTGTAATCGACTCGTTTATTCGTCATATTACATAAATAAAGATAAACTATATTGTATAATGACAATTACTTATTAATTCTTAGTTTCATTCTGGCGACAAACAACTCAGACGATTAAGTTTGAACGAATAAAAAGGTCGCCCAACTTTCGTCATCGTATAAACCAAATGAAATCGTCTTGTAGTCAAAGATAAATAATTTCCACAATGTTTGCTTAAAAAGTCGATTTGAATATGAAACGGTTCGCGGTCTATCGCTTCTGACGTAATGGAATAGGTGATGAATATTTACTCTGACAAATGAGATCCGCATGATAAATCACTATCTTAAATAAATGTCCATCATTTTGATAATACCGTAATATATTATTCCCAAAATTCGTCAGGGAGAGTATAAAACAATTAAGTAAGTTTACTTATTTTAATCTTACTTTTTACTGAGACAGCAAAAATGTAAGCGTTTTCTACAAAATACATTTTGCTGCAAAGATTTAGCTTTTAGAACATACAACCGTGTTTTTAATTTTTTGGTAATTCGTTTTCTATAAACTATTGTAGTATTATAATCGAAAGATTTGAAATGATAAAAAGTGCTTTAATTATTTAACTTAATTATGTAATTTTACTCATTTTAATTGGTAAATTTTATTCCAAACAAAAAAATTATTGATTTAAACTAAAAAATAATTTTTGTTCATTTTAGATGTCTTAATGTGTTCATATCACGTTTGTCATGGTTCGACTAGCTTATATTTCTTCGATTTTACCGAGGTCACTTCCAATTAAAAATTGTTTTCACTAAAGTTTTACAATACCGAAAAGAATCGAAAGTTTATTCGAATAATAATTTGCCGAAATACCAACTTTGAAATTATTACTGACAAGTATTCGTTTGTTTCCAAATATTTTTTAAGTCCATAAATTTAGTATAGCATGGAATTTAACGCATTTCAATAACTTATACGATACGTTTATTTAAAATAACAGATTTTAAGGTGAGCCGGTGTCATTTGTTATAGGTTCAGTCAGATCGATTTTAGATAGCATTGTCTAGACGAACTTTAACATTTTTATAGTTTATTTTCGCAGTGAACGAACTTGTATAGCTAATATATATTTTCACTCTGTCTTAATACGATATATTCAACGCGATATTGTACAGAATAAAAATACATTGTATTATTTTAAACTTTTACATTTGTGACTACTACATTTTAACCGATATTAGTAGCTCTGGTTATACAAAAACAAAGATTCTTATAGCCCAACATTATTATTTATTGATTATTATTAATAACTATTGATTATAATTTATTTATTTGTCTATTTTCAGGAATGACATGGAGATGTGTGTTGTCCACTTGTGTACTAGAAACTGATTTCGGACTCACTTTAAATTGCGGTTTGAAAAAATCTGGAATGTTCAGAGTCCGAAACCTAGGAGGTCTTAAAGGATACGTTGGTCTAGGTAAATTTAATTTATAAAAATGGAACCATAAATAAAATACGTAATTTATATTTATTTTTATTAAGTTTATGTCACACTAAAAGATAACACAAATCTCAACAGTGTTACTTATTATAATAATACATATGTTGTTAATAATGATTGGATAATTTCTAACTCCAATATTTAGTCTACTAAGCCTTTTGTTCTAAAAATATTCTTATAATATGGTCATTACACATAAAATATGCTAATGTACACTGTACATTAAATATTTTTATTAATTTATAAAAAGAGAGCTGTTTAACTGCTAAAAACTTTTTTTTTTCAAAATTATTTATTATAAACATAATAAACAATTTCGAAAATAATGATATTGTATTATAAAAATAATTTTAGGTATACAATTAGCCGATGAACTTGGTTTTAAAGAGTCATTATCTACTTTGGAGCAAAACAAACGACGTTCCGTGAACGGTTTCCCAGCACCAGGATCGTTTGAACCTTTGGAAGTGCTATCCGAAAACAGTCAAATGGTAAGAGTAAGGGTCATAAATAAATTCTATTTCTATAAAAGTGTATTAAGATTTTTTTCTCTTAATTTGGTTATTTTTTTACTTATTGTCAGACTTCGATTTCTTAGTCAGCTTGTTTATTAAAATCATGATTTCCAAATGCGTTGTTTTGATATTCTAGTCACGAAAGGTATAAAACTTCTCGTTGTTCTCAATTATTTAGCTTGCAAAAGCCATGAAAAAAATGCGCATACACCCTACGTCTGTATGTGATAGTTGTACTAATAATTTTCTTCCTATTGTTTAATTAGAAAACATTAATGTTTAGCATTAAAACTGATATATATATATAGTGGAACAGATCTAACTGAAAACTCTTATAACTTTAGATCCAATATTCATTTCTTTGTAATTTTCTTAAACAATTTTCGCATTCTTAGACTACGTTAAAAGCATTTTTTTATTATTTAGATGGTTTTAATAATAAATACGGTTTCATAGTGGGAATACGGCGTAGTTATAAAAGTATAGGTACAATTCAGATGATATCTGACACTGATTAAATTCATTATCACAAAAAAACGCAACGATGCAAACCTGTAGATAGTACTCAATTTTTAGTAGGAATTGTTGTGTTATTCCAAAGCAACATCAACTCCTTTTTCATAATTATATCCGGATTACTAGTTTTATGATTTATAATTATAATACATGATTAAATACTTTAATTTAGTATGAAATTAATTTTCAAAAATTTAATATTGTAATTTTTACGGAGAAATTACAAAAAAAATTTTAAAGTAATTGTATATTTTGTTTCTTTTATAGCAAATGTGTATAAAAATTAAAATGTATTAAACCTGAAAGAAAAAAACCGAAAAAGAAGGATGTTTGAACAAAGTATTTCCCTATTAAAAAAAATCCCTATTTGTGTTCTACTTAAAACTTTTAAAAAAAATTTAAGGGGTACATAGAAATTTTTTTTAATATCCACTGTGACACTCTGTACTACGTTAGTTAATTGAAATGTCAGTTATAAAGTTATAATTTTTTTTTTTTTTTTTTTAAGTACTTTATTTTTACATATAGGATAAAAATTAAATCTGCAAAATTCCTCCCTGAAAGTATTAATAATTAACACTTTATTCTTATTATTATTATTTTGTAGGTAAACCTTACCATCCTACGTGATCAATAACAATTTTAGGATAAGCATTAATTTTGTACAAGCATTAAAAAACATAGATTGGATATGTATCACAGGTTGAGTATGACTAATAAATATGCACATAGTACGAGCAGTACCCACCCACACTAAAACTCACTCAATATATTAAAATGCTTACAACTAAATAAATATTTGTTCTAAAATTGCTATCAACCCATCAATCATTTTTATAAGAAAAGTTCTAAAAATTAGCCAATTTTCAAAAATTTAAAATATTTATCAGAATTTTATAAAAATATTAAATTAAAAAAAAAATATTTTTATTTTTAAAAATAATAATAAAAATATGACTTTATCGTAGTCTAAAAATGCATAAATTATTTAAAAAAAACTATAATGAATGTAATTATAGTTGATTTTATCAAAAGAATAGTCGTCAGTTAAATCTTTAATCACTTTATCCTCATAAAGTTAATCAATCTTGTACATTTTATTTGATTTAATTAAACATTTCAGTTATTTTGTTACATTTTTTATTACACATGATGATCCACGGGGTTCTACTTTAAACAGTAATACAAATAATTAAGTAATCAGCATCATACTGGGCTTTTTAGTAATTATTGATACACACACTGTCTACATGAAGGTATTTTCAAATTGACTTTCACAAAAAAACAATACTGTTCAATTAAATATAGAATTTTTTGCTTGGATTATTATACATAATCAGTTATTATTGGATGTCCTGATGTTTTTCATTGTAAAAATCTCACCTGTCTGTACACATGACAAATGAGATTTGTATGATATTACCAGATTTGTTTGTTTTATCGCCTATAGCATATTTTATGAATTAAGTACGTACTGATGCTGCGAAACAAGTCACCTCTTCGATTGCATATATGAAAACTTGAAATTACTTATAACTCATCTGTATAAACCATTAATACCAAAACGTAAAACATCACAAAAGACTATTTTAAAAGAATAACATTTCAACATCGTTGAATCATTTTAAAATTCCATCTAAATTGTGTGGTTACTTTGTGGTTATAGTTTTGGTATTATTCGTGTGATAACTACAAGAGTGAGAGTGCAAATAATATTAGTGGATAAAAAAAACCAAGGTCCTAAATCATCAGATCCGCTTACATAGATATCCTCATAACCGCATGTTTAAACATAATTCTTTCGTACCGGTATTACCTTACAAAAATGATTCATTAACTTGTTTGCGAAATATATATTCTTAAAAAAAAAGTGTTAATTGTAAAATTTCTAATTTTGTCTTATTTTCTACAACACGTATCAAGTGACTAATTTCTATGAAAACTACTACGGACATCACTTTTTTTCGTAATCTTTATGAAATCTAATGCTATAATTGTTTAAAAAAACTAAATTTATTGAAACTTTAACAAATATAATGTATAATTTCACATTTAGTGTACATTGAACACTGGAAAAGAAAAATAACTTCGTCAAACTTTCTTCACTTATATGGGTGTTATTATTATCACATTTGTATTATCTGTAATCGTTCCTAAGAGTTTGAGAAATAATATTTATAAGTAAAATTCATATGCATATAATGTATAAGATTTATTTTCTTCCTTTGTTTCCTAAGTATAGGTATAAATTTCTTTTATATTTTTCATTCTATGGACAGCTGATTTGTTTACAATATGCAGTTACTTTTTTATGCGTGACTGCACTTAAGATCTGAATTCAATGAAGCGTCGCTTTACGAAAAAATACCTTGATAGATAAAATACTTAAAATAAGCTTTTAAAAATATGATCTGATATAAAGAGTGGAAAAGATCCAATCGACAACGATTCTGACTTTTCACACAATTAAAATTTTGTTGCCGTTTTTTTTTTAAACAATTTTTGCATTCTCAGACTACATTAAAAACATATTTTTTGTAATTTATTTTGGATAATAAATAAATGTTTTTTTTAATTTTTTCAAAAATTCAAAATAGCATTTTTTTAGAGTTTTTCTAACCAAAAAATGTTGACAGATCGATGACAATTTTAGGATAAGTACGTAGGAAGTTACAAGCATTTGATTCATAGAATGGGTATGCAGCTCGGGTGAGTACAGGTCGTATATTTATAAGACATACTCGGCCCGTACTATTTCCCTACTCAAACAGTGTAATTGTAATTATAACAAAAGTCATAAGAGTTGGTTTAGTTGGTCCATTCTGTATATATATGTATATAAATAAAAGTAGATATTATTAACAAAAATATTATGCAAATGATTAAAAGTTGTTTATATTATAGCTTAATTATATTTAATACGTAAAAAAATGTATTCGATTTAGTTGTCGCAAAAAAATCCTAAAAGAAAAAATATATATAAATTTAACAATAATAATATTTTTTTCACTAATTAATAACTTACTAAACGTATGTAGTAAAAACATTAAGTATAAAAAAACAAAGTTTGATATTATTGAGCCAACATAAAATGTTATAATTTTTAAACATTTTTTTAGGCGACTAATCTAGTAACGTCAAATGCCGATAGAACTCTATACGCCAAAATGAATGGTAAAACCAAACAAGTTCCTCCGTTTAGACCTTTGATAGCTGTTGCAAACAACATAGTGCGTAACGTACGACTTGCACAACAGCAACCTTTGCTCAAGCCACTTCCGGTGCCTGCATTTGCTGCTCTACCAGAATCGATAGCAAAAGTAACGGTGGCCCCAACAGTGATCACACCATCAAATTATGGTGTTCCAAATAATATGGTATCAAACAGGATATCCAATAATTTCCTACCGAATAATTTCGCGAAAAATGTGGTACCAAATAATTTAGGGCAAAGTTTATTACTGAATAGTATGGTGGTACCGAGTACAATTCCACAGATGCGAATACAAACACCACAACAACAACAGTTTTCCATGCAAAACGAAGCTAACAGAAGATTTGCGGTAAGGTTTTAAAATTACAGAAATACAATTAATAATCATGAGCGTAACCCATTTATGGTGGTTTTGTTAATATTTAAAAAAAAAAAGTTAATCAATAGACAATGTTACGGGTTGTAGATATTATATTTTTGATTTCGCCTTATTTTTTTAATACTTAATTTTAATAATAATTATTATTAAATTAATAATTATTAATAATTAATAATTAATTTTTCTAATACTTCAAATATCAAAATTCAATAAAGTTATGCGTTATTGATGAAAGCGCGTAATAAATTAAGTTTTTAATATTGCGGCACACTGATTATTTTCAATTTTTTTCGGTAATAATTTTTAATACTGATTCAATTATACGGTAATAAAATTTATGAATTTCAGCCAAAAGACGATTAAACAATTGTTATTACAAATACATACGTTTCACTTTTTTAAATGTACAACCCAACGCAGCTTGCAAAATGTGTATGTGAGAGCTGTAGTTTTGTATTATATTTGGATAAAATACCTTTCTTTGTCGCCATGTAAATTACACTAATGTATACAAAAATCAGGTAGACATTACCTCGATGAACAGTTATTTTTTATTAGATTTTATCTAATTAAGCGTATTCGCATATATGTAATGGTTAAGTGTTACAAAGACCATATATTTTTGATACACCATAAAGCACTTAAAACTAAAAGTTGTAATTTACATAGAATGCCATTTTATGAAAACAGAAAAACTGCCGAAAATTGTAGAAAAAAATACACACATTAATGATTTCCGGTTAAGTATTTTTGTAAAGATAATTTACATTTTATATAAGTTTTCTCTCGGTGATAATTGAACAATTATTCATTAAACAGTATTTTAATCTGCTCAACACTGTACTATCATTACACTGTACAATGACGTGACCAACTGTAGACTTAATGTGATACACACCATCAATAATATTATTTCTAAACGAAAGTGATGGTTAGTCATTTGCCCGTCTTCTCATTACAACCATAATAAAAACTCATAATATACTCAATGACGCACATGGAGCCCCCGTCGTTTTTAAGAGATACAATATATCTTTCGAGTACAAATTGTTTTATTGACCTTATTACACTTCCTATTGATAAGTGATATTTTTTCAAAATCATTTAATATTGAATTACCTTTTAAGCTGAAACACAGTAGATAATAATTTAAAATACATTAAATGGTAGCGTCTTTAGAAGAGGGCTGATGGGTTAAAGCTGTCAATGCCAATAGTTAGAGAAAAATCTATAAAAAAAAAATGTGTTGCCAACATACTTAAAATTGGTAATGGCTCCTTTGAAGAGATTTCTTATTATAAAAATATGCTGCGGATAATTATTATCTAGAATTGTCCGAGTCTTTAAACTATTTCTTCGTTTGTATAATTCATATTGTGTTAGTTTATGATTTACCGTGTTGATTTATACTTTTAGGCGTTCACACGAAATCCACAAAATTCAATTGATACTCGGCCGGTGTACGCGGTGGCCGCGAGTGTAGAACCCAACCACGAGAAGCTACCAAGTTACGGTAAAAAAGCCGAAAAACAGCCTCTGTCTAATGAAGTAGACCCTGTGGCCATGACATCATTATTCAATGTTGCTGCTGCCAATAACGTTAGCGTCGAACAACTGGCAATAGCATTGCGACATCAACAACAACGTGTTCCCTATTCACCAGTATTGCCAGCCAGCACTACGACGGTGAGTGCAGCGACTTCTACTACGCCTTTGCCGCCGATCACCATTATTACCACCGAAGCACCTCCTGTCACTAAAAAAATTCTTATGAAACCGTTCAAATCCAAATACGGAAGTGGCCAGAAGGTGATGAACGCCCCAAAGGAATACTATCCCGTTGGCTACGATAAAAACTTCGACGACAACTTCACGTCCAAAGTAGACTTACCCGATACCAGTTTTAGCTGTGGTAATCAAAAACATTTCCCGGGTCTTTACAGTGATGAAGATCTTGGTTGCATGGTACGTTTTTGCTCTCTGTATATATTATTCTATATTTTTACAAGTGAAAAATAAAAAATGTCTAAAAAGTTTCCCACTCGAAAGTTATTATAGCCGCGTTGATTCAAATGAATCGTACAAAATAACTAATGAACACTTTTTATTGCAGTCATTTTTAAACCATCTCGATCAAACAATAATGTTTTCCCATTAACACATAATTTGAAATAATAATGTTGGTTGGTTATTCAGAAAAATAGCAATTCAAACTAATTTCATGTGCTAGTTATTTTCATTAGCGTACATAATTTTCAATTTTTTTGAACTTTACTGAAAAGCAAACATACATGTAATTCAGCTCGCTTTTTACTTGTGCCATGAATTTAAATCGCGTATGAGGCACCAGTACGGTCTGGTACATGCATTGTGTTCAGTGAAACGTAGTAGATATAAGAAAATTCGTATACTGTCAAAATTCCAAGATTTATCATAACACAATTTGAACAAAGGTAACAAAATGTAAGTCTGCATAATTTAAACACGTAGTGTAAAATAATTCATTCTAATCAAAATTCAAATGTGCGCACTGTACGAGTTCAGCAGAAGTTTTCACAAGCAAATATGCGTATTAGTTTGTATGATAGAAACCGCCAGTGACGCCCATCATTATGTATTGCGGTCGCGATGCATGTTTCTGGTGGGGCGACATATCAGGGGACACACTTCTCCTGATATATTTCCGTAATTTCGAGGAGAAGGATCTTTATTAATGAGCAACGAGCAAAACAAAAGCGGTGAGGGTGTCAAAGAATTTGTTTGACACCGGCGCCAAAAGAAAACTGCAATCATCATAATTATTCAAATTAGTGTTAAGTACTTGTGTGAGTACTTAATACTGTTGTGTTTCAGTTGGTTTCGAGGTTACCTCGAAACAATTAATTTGATTAATTTTCTCAATAAATCGAATTTAGTCACTACTATTATGATTTTCACATTCAGTACAATTCTAAATAATTTGTAAAAAAAACAATAGGTCGAATATTTAAAATAAAAATATGAAATATTCATAAAATATGAAATTTCGATAAATACATAATTAACTAATTAAAAAGACTTGTTTAGTTTACACGTTATGCGTATGTTTGGACAACTTGCACTTGCTCGGTCCATTAACGCAAGTCGAGCGGTTATGAGTAAAGAGTGTTTTAGGTAGATAACGAAAGTATACTTTGTGACATAAAAGATACATTGTATGTAATATAAACAAAATGGTCGACAAAACCAATACATGTATTTCAAGTGCTCAATATTAATAATTTCAATATTCTTTACTCACATTTTGTCATCGGCATACGTTTGGATGATGATTTTTTTTTAGTCGATTTACAGATAAAATGCTTTTGAACTCTCATGATTTTATACTGCCATTACTTTCATTATAACATATTTCCAACCAGCACAAACTTTGCGTTATGTGTGACGCACGATAAACACATTTTATTATAAACGCTGGAAATTCTTTACGTTTCCTTAGTGTTATTGGTATATATGTATACTCTGTATTATGACGTTTTATAAAAGGTATTCCAAATGCGATGCATTCTGTATAATGTTTAGGAATTTATTTTATGGCGTTATACTGAAATTGTGTTCGACAACAACATATTCTTACGATATATTTTACATTACCGAACACAATGTCAAAGTTCATTTGACAAAATTAATAACAAGTGTTTTTGACTTGAACGTCCAAAATAAGGCGCTATGTGTTGTGACGAATGCATTAATGACAGTAAATTGCCTATAAGTATAAAGCCGTATTTACTTACGCTGATTGGAACTTTCATGAATCACAAGTTATCGTTAAAACTTGTGTAATAAGCACACGCCCTCTTTTATACGGTTTTCTTTTACTGAATTTTTCATGTGATTTTCATATTAGCCTAATTAAAAACGCATGTAAAATTACTTAGGTTTTACTTTCCGTGTACTAATAATTTCATAGGGTTGATTATACAGAAAAAGATAATGAAAGTCTCTCATTCTGATACATTTGCGAGCAGGTTCTCGGAAATAAATGAAGGGAAAAACGGTAATAGTCCATTTCGTTCGATTTTATGATTTAATTCGATAGCCCATTAGCAGCAGTATTAAGTAATGAAATTCATTGGATGAAAAATATTTTCATTTTTCTAATGTACAGAAATAGACAATTACCGTTTTCCCGCTGTACCCTTCGAATGTTTTAACTAAATTAAGAAAACAAATTTCGTCACGATATTATAAATGAAACTTTCCGCCTCGTACATTTTACAATTATGTTGGATAAAAAACGATGACGATTTTTCTTGTTTAGGTGTTCCACGTTTGTGCATTTACTGACGAAGGATTAACTCAAAAGAGTTTCTTGTGTCCTGAATCAACACTGTTCGATCAAACTATTCTGAAATGTAATTGGTGGTTCTACGTAGACTGCAAATCTTCAAAGAAGCTTTACGACAGCAACATTCCAATATCAAAAAGTTATCAACTTATGAAAGCTTTGACATTCTTCTCGACGTATAATAGCGGGCCAATGGAATCAAACAACGATGACAAGTCGTCTAATCAAACTATAAGTGAAAATCCTTCATCTCCCACTTTAATGTCTAATCCTGCGTCACCAATTAATATCACAGAAGTTTTACAACCCGTGACTGCTAAATAATTATAGGTCTTTCGTTTATCCTTAATAATTTTTTTAATGATTCGCGTATTAACGATAAGTGTATCGTTATAACGTTCCAAATACAATATATTTTAACTTTAAAAGCGAAAATTCCTCGATATAGTGCAGTCAGGTCTATTGAAGTACTTTTTACGATTACGAATACTTTGTCAATACCACACAAAACTTAAATAACGTTCTAGCCATTTAATCTTTTTGTATCTGTATAACTGAAGTTAAAAATACCACAAACCGTTTGAATTTTAATATAATATACTAAACGACTTCGCGATACGTATATACTTTATAGGTGTATACTACAGATACAAAAGTTAAATTAAAAAATAAAATAATTAAATCCCCTCGTTTGACCATATTATGCAAATGGTGTCAAGAAAATTTCATAGCCATTTGTTTTTACGAGACGAAGTCGTTTACATAAGTATATTTATACTTTAATATTATTTTAGTGCATATTAGAAAAGGTGATATATTATAGTTAGTGAGTGCGACTGTTATTTTTGTACATTGTGATAATTTCAGTATAGAAAATCATTGTACATAATTTGTTATAATATTTTTTGAACAAAAAAATATTTAAATAATGCTCATTTTAGTAGGAACTTTTGACGTTCTATATAAGTATACACGGGTAGTTTTTTGTTTCAAAAAAAAAAAAAATGGCGTCATTTGTATTATAATCTACTTAAATTATTTTTAATTATTTATTATTATATCATTAGCAGAGCTTTTAAAATGTTTGTTTTTAATCATTTTTATTACATACAAAATTAAGTTAGATTATATAATAATACATGTGTAATATTTGTGTTGTTCAAGTAATTGAATAAAGCTCTAATTTAATAATGTCAATTTTTTTCATTGCTTTGTAACATAGAGGTGTAGTTAAGTAAATATTATAACAGTACATTTTGAATACAACCGCTTTTTGTTTAATAATCCAGTTAATTTAAATAATTAATATTTTCCAATGAATGATGGAGTCATTATTTTAATTAGTGTTACAGTTATAATAAAAATAAGTATTTAAGTCATGCTTATAACAAAATATATACAATTATTAAAATATTTTGGATAAAAAAATCAGTCACAAGGTTTCTTATACTCAATGTATTATTCATATAGAGTTACAATTATAATAGAAATACAATTAGAAGTTAAATTCCGTATTCTACTACTAATAAAATGATAATTATTATAATATATATTTATTTTTGATCTAATTTTGAAATACGGTATCCTCTGAAATCATATCAAATAAAATATTAAATATTGAACTTCAAAATTTAAGTAGTAAATAGAGTCATTTATTCTATGTTTGAAGACATTAAAATTTAAAAAACAAATATTCCTAATGTTTTTTCAATTTAAACTGTACCAAAAATACATAGAAACTAAATATTTGTTCAGATGTTTATGTAAACATTAAAAGTTTACTTATTTTTCTCTTTTTAAATTATATTGTTGAAAAAATTGTTTAATGAAAAATATTCCTAAAACTTTTGATTTAAAAATTTGTTTAGAAACATGAAAAAATTAAGGAATGAATATAGAATTAAAATAAAATGGAAAAATGTATTACAAAAATAATAAACATGTGTCTTTTCTGTTTCAATAAAATTACTAGTAATATTTCTCATAAATTTTATTATGGGATCACTATTTTATTAATGAGTTTTACGTACTTTTAATCATTTTATAAGAATAATACCATTAAATATAATACTTATTCAATTGATGATGTTTATAAAAAAATCATAATTAGGACTTAGTCTCTATGATTATCTGGTCGTTAAAGTTTCTATATTATGTTGATTACTAAAAGGCGATGTAACATCAGATAACAATTTGATATAAATATACAGATAAACGCTGTAAAATCAATTTATCATATTTCAGAGTTGCAAATCACTTCAAAACAAAAGTGCTTAAATATTTAGCATTGTAATTAATCAAAAACTCTTAGAGCGTAATTTACATCCTTTATTACACTTGGTACAGAATGATACTTTAACCATGTTACACGTTCTAATCAATGAAATGTAGTGTTTTCTTTGAATATTAGCTAATTCCGTGTACAACAAAAATCTCGAGATAGTTTTTAAATAATGAAAATTTTATTTGAAGTATTATTCTTACACGTGTTACTATTATTAATAAAAAATTTAATTTGTCATAATAGAATAGTATAATTTATTTAATGCTCTTTGGGAGGTAATTCGTAAGATATATTTTTTAGTTTTCTGTGTAGAACACAATAGATAGTATTTGTAGCTTATAGATCTAACGACTTGAAAAAGAAAATCAACATTAAATTAATCATTTTTATCTCTATGATGATGACTTATAAATAATTTCCAATACAGACGTCATATTATCTTAAAAGCCATTAAGAAACAAGGAAAAAGCTTTTAGGGCTACATTTTTTATCCGACATTAATCGCTATTGTTTGCGTGCAAGTCTTGTTTATTCTTTATCTAAATGAATAAGGAGATTGTATGTTTTGTCATCAAATTAGTCTGTTTCAACCGCACAGTTTTTACCTGATGTTAACGTTTTATCAAGATAGTTAAGTAATAGTATAAATATCTTTTTACAAACTCATAAGTAAAAACTAAAATAAATATCTAAAGTCAAAACTCTTGGAATTCAAATCAAAATTATTAATTAAATTCTTAAATTATTTAAATTAGACATAAATAATAACAATATAAGATCATAAACACATAAAGAGTTGGCCTTCTATTGCTTACATCTAAACAACCCTACATAATGTATATTATTAAATGGTGAACATATAAGTTTAATTGTAATTGTAATAATTGATAATGTTATTGTATTTTCTGTGATATTAATTTCGTGCTAAATCAAAACCATTATTCTATTATTGAAATTCAGTAATAACTTGATTAAATTGTCTTTAGTTCTTTACTATCACATTCTCTCATATTTTTCCTATTATCAATCATCCACTACAAACTTGCCATCGTGATAAGAAGTTTCCTCTGCTGACAAGTTGACCACCTGTCAACAATTCAACCGAGCCAGGTGTCAAATATGCATACACTGATGTCGGCGTTACTCCCCTTCTCGTTCAATGAGATGCTGTCACGCAACGGCTACGAACACAGATAGGCAACCAGACATACGTCGGGTTACCTGTCTATTTTGATTTAAATGCTTTTTTTGACAAAAATTGCGATCTCTCTAGCTATGCAAATACCATTTTGCGTTTGTGTTATACAAATTGTAAAGGCTGTTTCATTTTATCATTTGGCCCTACCAATCAAACTATTAGTGAAGATTATTTGTTGGATGCTGCCTACACCTTTTCTGTACATCTTTTATTTTGTTCATTAATTTTTCCTATTTCCAATTATACTTATCCCTAGTATACTATGCTACATATTTAAATTAATATATTTTAATTATTTTATATACAGAGTAGCCCAGCACTCACTGACAACTTAAATAAATTTTGATCCAGTTAATATTTTTAGCTGATTCTTTTTTAATTAATAGTTATACGTTTGATCTATAATTATATCTCAATAATTCATTTTATTAAATTTTATTAAAAATATTAATTATTTTTAAATTTTAAATAAAATGTAAAAAAAAAAATCTAAGATAGCTAAATTTGTAGGGAAGATTTTAAGAAAAATTTTGGTAAAAAAATATCTTACCAAAATTCAGTAGTAAATATTCTGTAACATTTTAATGTTTGTGAAAATTTGAAATTTCATGTATTCTTTTACAGTATTAATATTGAAATACGTGTTGAGAAAAGAACAGAAAAAAAACCTTTTCATAAATTTGGAGATGTGTAACTTTGTTTATGAAAATTACTTACGCTTTTGAATGAGAGTGATAAGTAATAATTGCCTTATCAAATATCTTATCATCGTATTAATTCCAAGTTTGTAAATATAATAGACCTTATACTTAGTATAATATAAATCTTGACTCGGGATAAATAAATTCTAATTTTAGTTAGAATAAGTAGTTTTATTTTTAAAAAGATAAAACTACTTATTAAGTAATAGGTATTGTTCGTGTTTTTATTTGAATTAAAGCAAGTCATTAGAACGTTAACAATTTTCATGGAAAAATCCATACACATATTATATTTAGTGTGAAAATATTGTATTTACTTCTGTCCTTTTTTTTTATAAAACATAGCCAGTCTTTGATACCACAGAATGAATACAGAAAATTTTGAATTTATACAAAATTTAAAATGTTACAGAAATTTAACTACAAAATATTAATGAGTAATTTTTTCACCAAATTATTTCTTAAAATTTATTCATAAAATGGCTATTTTGAATTTTTTTTTAATATATCTCGTAAATTTTTTATTTTTTAATTTAATTACAAAAATGATATTTATTACATTAATATTAAATTATATAATAATTAACTTTAGTATATTAAATATTAAAAAAAAAATAGCAAAAAATATTTACTGGATCAAAAGTTATTTCAGTTGTCAGTGAGCGGTGAGCCACTCTGTATATTTTAGACACATTTTGTTGATTAATAATACTAGTGTGGACTACCGAGTGCAATAAGACTAAATGCATCAGTATATTTGACATGGAGTAAAAATAATTATGAATAAAAAATTGTCTTATAAGATCTTTATGGGTAATACCATTGGGCAAGTTAATCGAAATAATTAACTCAAGTTAACATAAGTTAAGTATGAACAATGTCAATAAATTAACAGTGAAAAGTTACCAAATTATAACTTAAAGAAAATTTAATTTTTTTTAAATTAAACCACGTACACGGCGTGTAAAGACATACATTTTTGATGAAATTTTGAATTTAACTTACCTGTTATTTACCTAATTAACTAAAAAAAGCTAAGTTATTTCAATGGAAAATTAAATAAGTTAAATTAAAAAGTTTATTAGAAAAATAATTAATTAGTTAAGCTGAAAATTTAAAAAAAAAATTTACTTTTTAACTAGTTCATGTCCATTATTGAGTAATACATTTGATATTAATAAAATTATTTCATAATACTTTATAAGTTATCGGCATTCACAAAGATAACAATTAATTGAGCTCCATTTTTAGTTTAAACACTAATTTTAATGTTCTCATATCCTGCTTCTTTCGGACAAACCGTATCGATATAACAATCGGTGTTATCTTAAAAATATGTTGTGTAATAGAAATCACAATATCTGACAACAATAGTTAAAGACGTTTTCAGAAATTGTCGTTATTGTTATTCGCTTTCTTGTAAAATTCTTTTGGTCGGAGAACTTTTCGAGGACTGTCGTCAATCAAGCAAACCATTATTAGTACTAGAAAAACGCACACTTTGGTTTGCGCTTTACAATACACGGTAAAGTAATAAAACTAGTAGTTATACACCAAGTTGCCTTTTGAAAGGGAATACTTGTGAATAACGGTATTGTTCGGGAAGCATCGTTTTACTAGGGCAGTGCTCAAAACGGTCTTACCTAACCGCAGTTACAAAGAGTACAGCGAAAAACAAATTGAAGTAATGAGATTGCAACTGTCCGCATTATTCTGTTGTATAGGTAACCCTTACAAACAGGCATACTTCAGTCTTATAAATTATTGAGTGCACAATAGTATTAAATTTAATTCAGATATTTCTGTTGAATTTATGTAACACGTTCACGTATTGTAACGTATCTGGCCGATTTGTATTCTTTCTTGCCTTAGTGGTAAACTGATTAAGCTGGAAGACTAACAATGAACGGCATCGTTG